TGATATGTAACTTCTCTCTCTTCTCAGTAGACGCGGAAGCCTTAGCTCGCTTCTTATATCCTCGAATAACTTTGACAATATGCCCTTGGCTCGTTACTTGAAACATAGGAAATAACTACTTTTGAAGACTCAAAAAATGATTTATGAAAAGTGCAATACCTGTGTCTATAATGGTCATACCTCTCAGGTTTTTGATAGGTTTAACGCTTTCCTGATAGCTTCTTTTCCTCAATAAAAAAACACTGATACTGATATCATTCATCAAATAAAGAACATTCCAAACTATTAATAGATATCTATAGTTGTGTGTAACGTATTAGACTTCGAAAGAGAACGTAGGAAAAAAAAATGCTTGATAAATCTCGAGAAACGTGGATATATAATAAACCAACATCTGAACAAATAAATGAAGAACCGTAACCTTTACAATTCAGAATTATCGGATTTCTTTTTCGAATTTTTTTTGTTTTATTCTTGGAAAAAATAAATGATATTACTCTGGTACATTCGTTCGTTTTCCAAGGCGTTATTATTTATCTTTTCATTTAATAAATTTTACTTTTTTTCGAAAAATTGAAAAACTAGAAGACTAATGTTTTATCCCAATAATTGTGCATATATATTTTTAATGCTGTAGATGCACCTAAGAGCCGCAAAAAACGAACTAACTCATTCGATAGAAAAATTAAATGAAATTATAGTACTTTCGGAATAGACGCATCGTAGTCTGCGTGTTATTAAATGTCTTGTTTGTTCTTTGTGTGTATATATTATAGGTACAACGACATCAGTAACACAATCAATTGTTGTAAGACTACCTAGGCTCAAGAAGATTCGTGTATCTGGAATTTGTGAACTATTCGATTTGCTCAAAGTTGCGCCTAATGTCGACAGTTTGACTATCGATTTCAATTGTCTCAAAACTCTGCTCGATGACAAGTCAACATGTCATTTACTGCAACAGCGAATCATTGATCTCTTTATCTATGACTGGGAGGGCATCGAATTGGGTCTATTGCAATGCATCACTAGAATATTCAGATGTCTTCGTCACCTCTTCCTGGTTCTGAAAGACTCAAACATGGTCATTGATTCGATTGTACTAACAGTACTTGCTGCCTGGAACGGTAAAAAACCACTTTCTTCTCTCAACATCAATGGTCCACCATCGGATGAAGCACGCAGAAATCTTCGACAATGGTTGATTAATTACACTTATTTAAAGGCAGACGATTCATTCGCGGTTGAATATAAAGACAATCGGTTTGCTTTGTGGTTGTAGCGGCGAAACTGTACCAATACTTTGTGTTTTACTCATTCATCATAGAACTATGACTATTGTTGTTTTAAAAATACTCACTCTGTTTGATCTGCAATGTTTGCCAATGATTAGTAAATGACATGTGTGATATTAAGATATACATTTCGTTCATTGTTTTAGCTGGTGATGCAACAACCTAGCCCACTGAGTTAGAACCATTTGCTAACTAAAGTTCTCATAATATTAGAATATTTTTCTTTTTATCTCACGAGGGAAACTTTTCAGATGTGAAATACTTTTTAACATCTAAAAAGATTAGGCTAGTTTTGTAGAAACGTCAGATGACTAAAACATGTCAAATCAAAACATTTTTATCATATATGTAAGTTCAATATGAGAAGTTATAAAGCAAGATCATGGCTCTGCGATAATAATCTTTTTAAACATGACGAAAACAATCAACAAAAAAATATGTTCAACAGTAAAATACAATATTTTGCCTTTTTTTGTACAGCGAAACATATAGGCAATATGGGGTGTGGGAGTTGTGTATCCATCTCTTGTATACGCACATACCCACACCCATATCTCTATGTAATGCAATTTATGCTAGGATACCCGCTAGTGATAGAATATATTTGTGGAATGAAAATAAACATTATTCATAAGTTAATTGTTATTCGTCGAGTTACTGTGGCTTTGTACGTTGATGCTCATGTATTACTAAGTAAAGTGGGTACCTAGGCTAGTTTTTCGTTCTATTACCAGTTGTATCACCATTAATGAATTATCAACCTTCTCTTTGCCACTTCGAGTTTTTCTCAAAGGACGAATCGAGAAGAAAATAATAAATATTGATTGTGAATAAAATAGTATCTCAAATTCAAGCGAAGAATTATCATCCAGAAAAGATTTAATGAGCCTTATGCTCAATTCACTTATTGGCCATGATTATGCATAAAGAATTCGTCACAGACTAACTCATATGTTGCTAAATTCGCTCTCTTTTCTTTTATCTATCCTTCTCTTATTTAATCATTCTGTTGGCCAAAGAAATGTTCCTTTATGACGTTCTCTACGTCTTAAGAAACGATTTATTTTTTGAAACAGGTCACATAAAAAATCATTTCTATCACAAAACTAAGTGCCTACCTATTCAAACATATTTTAGTTTCAAACCAGAGATAGGATTGGTACTTGAATTGCGTTCGTACTGTACTTGAAAATAATATTCCTATATATGAGGCCCACGTCAGAAACGTGTAGAAGGGTGTTGTGTAGTTCTTAAAAGGAACGCGAGAAATGATCCTATTGGGCATGGACTCCTTTCGAATGAGCACATGAACTATAATCGAAATACTTGAATTTTATTTTTGTTTACTCTTGTTTATTATATTACTCAGAAATATGCACGAATATAACTTCTCTATCTTTTCAGTGTTAATCCTTTCTTTCAGAAACAGAGAACGAAACAAAGGAACATCCGCTTTGTCAATAAAATGATTGAAAAAAAGAAACGATCGTCATCAGTAGTAAACAAACTAGTGCGTGACCATTTTTTATATATGTTCGTGGTCAACAAGTAAATTGAGAATACGGCTCATTCTCTTTCCATTAATATTTCAACATGACATCTGAAAGAAATCGAACTAATGTATTTCTAAGAAAACATTGTCTGTCTTTCCCCAAAAGAACGGTTTTTTTTAGAAAGAAAATAAGAAGATAATAAAAAAAAATAAAGTCGATTGAGAGAAACGATAGTCAATGCTACTGGTAAATTAATTATAAAATTCTGAAACTGACGAAGAGGAAAGAAAATTTGCGAACGGTGTGTATATTGATGTACAGAAGGGCCTCATCCCCACCGTTCGATGGCAACAAAATCGAACTAAGTGATTGATTATTTAACGAAGAAGTTTCTTATTAAATCAGTTGTTCGTTTGTTAGATGTTCTTTTCTTCGTCAAAGATTAACATATCGGAATCAATTGAAACAGAATTCATTCAAAAGATATCAGATCAGATGAAATATCAAATATCAAATACTGATTGAATCGATTAAGATAGGTCTCTGCTGTGCGGTACAACATAATTATCATTCGAAAGAATAGATCGGATCATTCTTGAAATTTGATAAAGTGATGCCTCATGTGGTCACAAAATTTAATCGTAGTGATTCATGCAATAAATGGTCTGCCATCTCCATATCTGACTGTATTCGTAATCGAGTCCACAACAGTTAAAAATCTCGATAAAATTCTAATAAAATAGATATCGATGTAGGAATATGGATGTACGTGTGTTCTGCTCACTCTCATCTATCCACATCTGCATCCTGCGGTCATTATTTTTCTATGCACTTTTGCATTTTTATATTTATTTCAAAAAAGAAATTTCCAAACTCTTTCATCGACTTGGATGTGGCGACACATCACAAGAAAAATCATATCGAGACCCATACCCAATAACGTCTTGATAATACCATAGTATAAAAGTTTGTCAGAATAGATCTCATGTTAGATTATGTATAATTTCGCTTTGATTTCTTGCTACTTAGTTCTATCAAGGATAGTGAAGACTCACCTGCATCCTAAAAGCACAGATTGACAAAGTATGATTCGCTAAGTAAAAACGTAAGACTGAATTGTTTTTAAGTATGATATTCTTCTTTGTCATTCAGTCTTATTCTAACATTATAATAAAATATCTTAAATTTGGGAATTTACTCATCTGTGCTGTAACAATTGATGAACGGTATACTTCAATACTTGATAAACATTTTAACGATAATATGCAGTTTCTCATAAGCCAATTCATTTCCACACACTATCTTTGTCTTTTTTGTTATATCTTTATTAACTGTTGACGTGTTTTCTCTTTTTCAATTTAATAGTTTTTTCTCATCCTTTGTGGGAGGTATGATATCTATCACTGAAAAAAAAACAGCTTTGTACCTACTATGTCTTGTTCTAAAATATGTACATTTATTTCTTTTCTTCTTCTCGTTTCTATCTTTTTCCTTTCTCATATATAAATGTAAAAAAATGAATGGTATGCTTCCTTTCTTATCGTTGTATGACCTCTTCGTGTGTGGTATAAACAAGAATATTTTCGTCTTGATATATCACAGGACTGAATTGATAAAGTGGCTGAATTAGATAAAGATCACTATCAATGATAACGATAATTAATTCTCCAGTTCATCACACTATACAGTTGTAGGATTGTTTTTCAATAATAATTTTCTCTGATTTTTAGATTGAATAATAGGTAAATATTTTATCAAAATTCTAAATTGTGTATGTTGGTACGTACATAATTATACATATTTTCATCATGACTTGTAAAAAGAAATATCTATCGTTAAATGTCATTAGATATGAAGAATTCTGATTTACCCTGAACACATAAAAGAAACATCATGCACTTTAGAATAAATATTCAGTGTTTTCAGTTATGATATTCTTTTTATGCAGTATAGAATAAGAGTCAATTATTTTATTTTTTCTTTGTTTAGATAGAAATTATCCATTTAATTTAAAATGTTTAAAACACAGACATATGGATTAAGTTAAACGAAAACTCACTTTTAATCAATCATCAATAGAAGAAGCAAAAAAATTACGTAGTAAGTTATTTGAATAATACATATAGAGTTTTTTTGTATTTGTTTTTCATATAAATAGATGAATTCGATTGATCAATAACTTGCATTGAAAATTTATCTAATGAATTTTTCTATGAAATATTTGATTATCGTGATGGTTAGGATATATATATGTACAGCATTTTCACATCTTAATCAACGTTTTCAAAAACTTCCTAGTTCCTCATCTCTTCTACTTAAAGTTGCACTTTATGGTGCAATATATAATGAATCATATATAAGTGGTTATAAGCTATATCTTCTTTTTAGTCGGCATAAAATATTTTCTATCGATTTATGTTCAGTATTAAAAAATAATTTTTTTCCATGGTTAACCTTCGATTCATTATTAATCTGTCTCGAATCACTTTCTATTAGACAAAAAGTAGATAATTTAACCTCAATTCTTAGTAATTTAGCTTATCTACCTCGTCTTTTCTTTTTAACTATCGACACATCAAATAAGCCTGATAATCTCCATGATATTTATCGATTAATATTTGCCTTACCAAAATTAAAATCGCTCATGATCATGTCAAATTATAATAGAAAAATCTCAATTCCAATGGTTACTAATCAACGATTGAGTACTATTGAATATCTTGCCATTGATCATTGTTGGACTTACAATGAACTTATTTCTATTATGTCTTATACACCTCAACTTCGTCGTCTATATCTCTTTAATGCATTTGATTTTCATAGAAATATTCAAACTATATTACCAATCACATTATCAAAATTAACAGATATTTCGATACCTATGAATTATTTAAAATTTTATGAATTTGAAATAATCATCAGAAAAATAGATGCGAAATTAAAAGTTTTACGTGTTACTGTTCTATCTCAAGATGTAACTTTTCTTAATGTTTATCCATGGAAAGAATTAATTTTAGAATCTTTTCCTCAATTGAAAAAATTCTATTTACGATATATTGAAAATTTTAATAGAGAATATCATTATCCTGGAATGCCAGATCAATTCATTTCATCATTTTAAATTAAACGACAATGGACATTTGAAGTTGAAATCGATCATGAATCTATCAATTATTTTGTTCGTCTATACAGGTACATATTGACAATATCTTTTTTTTAATGAAATAGATTATTTTTTTGTTTATTCTATTAGAAAAAGATGGTATGAATATACACAAGAGAAGATTTTAAATTCTTCTGTTGACTATTCTAAATCTACTCGACTAATTATCACGTTTGTTGATAACGATGATTTTGAGGAGCCTATGACGATAGATACTACACACATTTTGACTGTAGCACAAATTTATCATTTGGAAATTTCAGAAGAAACTGTTCATGTTGCTGCATTAATTGAAGTTGTAAGTTTATTATCAGAACTTACTATATTAAAAATTTATTCTTTATCATTACATGGATCGAGAATATTAAATTCTGAAGAACTTCTTACTTTGGCTTCAATGGAAGATAGAAGCAAAAATTACAAAAGTATACCTTGAGGGATGAGTGATATTGAAGAATTTTATTTTCTTTTGAAATTATGTCCTTGTATGAAATATCTCAAAGTGAATTCTATAAAAAGTATGGATTTCAAATTTGTTCTACGATATATTTTCAAAAAAATTATAGATGATTGTAATGACCATCTTTGTTTATTGTGTTTTCGTATTCCAATAACAGATAATGAAATAATTAAAAAAATTAAAAAGAATGATTCATTTTGAAAAACTTTTATTGAATTTTACAATTAAACGTGTAGGTGATAATCTCTTTTTCGAATGGCAATGATTGCAAGATTTGTAGTATTCATTTTTATAAAATGTTTTTTGCTTTTATTAAATAAAATAAACGATCTTTGAGTTAGCAAAGTTCGTATAAAGATATTATTCTTTTTTTGAGTAAATTTCCAACAGAGTTTCTGAATCGAGAAGAAAAAATTATATATTTAAGTTTTTATTCAAATTCATTTAGAATGATAATACACGAAGTTCATTTATCAATCATGTTTCATGAGTCTAGAATGAAACTATTATCTAACTTAACTAATTAAAAAACAATTAGATTATATAAATGTAATTGATGTCAATAGGAAATTAATTGTAGACGGAAAATTATGTCTTATTCACAATGTTTTACAATTGTAAAGGCGTTCAGTGCTATTTTAATATTCGATACATATTGAAGAAATGAATACATGATGATTAATTTATATAAAGGTGGAAAAGACTAAAACATCATCACTCGATCAATTAATTACAAAAGCATTTAAACGTTCTGTTTTGTTAACAAAGATATTAATTTTTCAGTTTCACGAGGTGCACTTATTCAAGAAAATATAACATTGCATGAGATCGTTTTAAGTCCAAGAAAGTATAACACAATGTGTCTCTCATTTTCTTCTATCTACTTTCGTTAGCGCTTAAGTATTACATAAAACTGAATTGATAACACTATCGAACAAGTCAGAACATCAAGCCGAGCTGATCGTAGTGCTATGTACAAGTTTACACGAGATTTAAAAATGACTCTCTACTCAATCAATGAGATCTATTCATTAATTTTATACGATACTAATTTTATCGGACTATCTATTCCTTTACAATCTGTTTTACATGAACATTGTTTATATTTCATCTCATACACTTGCATTGAATAAGTCATGCATAATAGATAGATGATTTTTTATTTTGTTGCTGATTGTCTTTCTATTGACTTTCTTTTTTCAATCAACTCTTATGTATCTTTAAATCAATATCCATCAGTTAACACCGGTTATACCATTAATCGATCCACCAACTAGTAAGTTTTAAATATTTCATAGAATTAAGCAGCAAGAAAGTTAAGTTATCCACTACAACATAAGAGAAAGCAATAGCAGACAGAATTTGTTGTAGTGCTAAAACAATCCGTTATTATAATATAAATTCTCAATACATTTTCTGATAAGTTACACTATATTTTTTTTTGTTAATTGGAACTCGAAGACATAAATCAATGAACTAGAGCAGTAAAATTGATGATATACGAAAATTCTTTATAGAAATGAAATATTTGCTATTGCTAGAATAATATTGAACAATTTTCTTTAAGTTCATCTCTGATAATATTTCCATGTGATCTCATTCATATCATACAGAAGTAATGTATGATTTTTACGAAATTTTTTCAGTGCTTGTTAAACTTTTACTAATAAAATTCAAAAATGTATTTCGATTTTTTGTAAAAAGACCTATTAAATCATATTTATTCTATTTCACTCATTTCTATCAAGACATCGAATGAGAATGTTTATTCTTTAAATTTAATATGAAAATTAATATAACAAGCTAATCAGACAAGAATGTGGATGTGAGTTTGAGTGAAGAATATATTCAAACCTGCACCTATATCCTACACCTTTTGGATAGGAATAAGGGTTGTTGCAACAGCAAAAACTTTCGTGAGTAGTATGGTTTTAGTCGGACGGATCGACGTTTTCGAGGAGCACTCATGTTTTCCGCAAGATCTGTTGGAGAAGTGTAATGGTTTTCAAAAGCCACTTAATTCATAGTTTTCTTTTTCTAGTGCAGAATTATGTTATTGAAAGTAATTCAATGAATTTCATGAGTAAAATTTCTTGAAGTGTAAACAGTGGGATAACTGAATGATATTTTCATCATAATTGATCATTCAAGACTTCTACGATAAAATAGACAGAGATGAAAACTTTGTCGAATCGTGATACTACATTCTCGTTCGTCTTTTGATTTATTGCTTTTGCTAATAATTCCATTTCGAGTTAACAATATATTAGGGCGATAGTGACAGAACATGTGTCTTCATTTATTTTTTATGAACATTAAAGGATATCTGTCGAGATAGAATACGATGACACAGTTGACCTATGCCTGAATAGATATCTGCTAGCATTTATAAGTGAAAGTACAACACTGAATTTTCATTGTTGAACTTTGATGTTTAGCATTGTTTGCTATTGATCGCTATCTTTGTCATTTCGTATACAAATTTTGAAAACTTACAAAGGTCAACCTATTGATACACCTTTTTTCCTATTGACGTAGAGAATAACGAAGGAAAAAACTACATAAAATCAAATGAATCATGAATGACACATATTGTGAAATAAGATGTACAAATAAATATTGAGTGATTATTTCATGTTTATGAATAAGAAACATATCATCAAATGCCATCTACGTTTGAAACGTTGTCAGATGAAATCTTAATGATTATTCTAGTATCTGTTGATAAGGGTGTGGCTGGGTGTATGAGTTTATCTTTTGTCTAGACTCACACCCCACCAATCTGTAGACTTTTGATCAAGCTTCATAAAAAAAATGTATTATCTTCGAAAAATAAACTTTCCTTGACAAAAAAATTCGAGTCACAAATATTCAATTACCCATTACTTGCTAACGTTATGGTAACTCCTTTCCTTTATTATCAGTTGAAGGAGAACACTGTAAGATACATGTTTTATAAATAAACAGAATGTATAAAAAAGATAAGTTTCTTACATGAAATATCGAAAAGCAAACGAATGCTTTAATTTAATTTTCCATTTAGTAAATTACAGAGTGAAAATAATTTAACTTTATTTTAAACTAACAAGAAAAACACACGCGTAATTTTGATGCATTGTGTTTAGCGTTAGTATTTATGTAATTTCCGTAAATCGCATCAATCTATTAAGTATTTTTTTTTCTAAATTATCCGCACTTTTGTTTTCGTTTTTGTTAAGTTATCGTTCAAAAACTGCAGTTTTTTTAAAATAAAAATATTTTATCTATTTCCTTTTTTTTTGCTATATATCTCATTGATTATTTGTATTTTTTTAAAGATAATATTATCATAACGAATAACTATGCAGCCGTTAACTTGAATAACTTTGAAACTTTCTTATCAAACGCTTCAGCTGATTTACGAGCTACTTATTCTGGAAATGGATGTATTTTGATATGAACATTATGTATGAAGAAAATATTTATATTTTTGCTTTTCATCAACTCCTTTTTTTAAATACAGATTAAGCTTTTAAAAAAAAGTTATGGAGAGTTAAGTTAAATTTAAAAAAACCAGAGCTCATGAAAAGAAAAAATAGAAAATTATTTTATAAAAAGTATTTTCTTAATATATACTGTTCATATCAAAATGCATTCATTTCTAAAATAAATAGTTTATGTAAGTCAGTTAAAACATCTTGAAAAGACATATGCTAGACATTTAGATCATTGGCGTAAATCAGTCAATAAGAAAACATTTAGACATGTCAGTGTCTAAAATCGGTTGTCCGTTGACACTTGAACTGTGTAAATTAGAAAAATATTAACCATTCAGAAATGACTTCAAATATCTTGTCATACAATTCATCTGTATCTTAATATTTTAGAATGTGATAAAATAAAAGAAGACAAATGATACTGTTAACTATCAACTCTATAGCAAGAGAGCCTTTTCTTAGTGTTGTTCAGAACGTCGTTGTGTGTAATACAGCAATATGATCATTAACAAAAATCAGGATAAAAAAAAATTCCTGCTTTTATTGATTTCAACTTTTTAAACGAAATCTAACATTGTTGCACAACAGAGTGTGAATTTCAGTTAATGCTAAATAACAATTATTATTCGTCCATATATTACGGATCTGATATGTATATCATTGTCTTAGACAAAACGACGTTCTGTAGAACAGGAAGAAAAAACTCTCTTGCCACGCAGTCTGGAGTCAAAAGTGTATTTTCTCTTCTTATTTTTTGGCTATTTTTATCTTCTTTATATGTTATTTATTCTACAATGATATCGGTTCTCTTTTCTTATACTACATAGTCGCTTCAACGTACATTGATTTGGAGGGTAAGTTATAATATGTGGTGCAAGAACATCTAGATTTTATTATCAATAAATTTTAGATTTTTTTTACGAGATAATTTTTTCATGTCGATTCTAGAGTTCTAATCATATTCCTGTTTATTCTACTATGTAAGATTGATTTATTTCGAAGGATGCCTTTCTAGTCTACGA